CCTTGAGGTCCTGCTTTCTCATGGTGGAAAAGCTGGAAGCTGTGAACACACAGTCCCTGTCACAGCGGCTTGCACAGACATATACAGCTTGGCAGTTAGCGTACCATTGCTAACTTTGATCTCTGCAAAACACCAGTGCTCAGAATTTGTTCCATGTCTTGCAAAATTCACTTGGGTAGTTGTGCCTACTGTGCTGGGCAGGGATCTACTGTTCAGGGTGCAGCCTCTGCCTTTGTGGCCTATCTGGTCTGCCCTGAACTGCTGCTGTTCTGTGCTCATGGAAGGCACATGGCAGGGCAGGGCCTGCTGTGCACTGTGGGCAGAAGCTCTTCTGGTTATGGCTCCAGAGGGGGCTGGCATCTCTTTCCTTCGGCTTGGAACGTGGGTGCTCCGAGATAACCATGTAGCAAAAATGTGCTGGCCGGGGTGCACTGTGGAAGGCTCACACTGTGCCCACGCACTAGACGCTGGAGGTAGGTGCTAGTTAGCCATTTCCTGCTGTCTTGTTTATGGACACTATCTCATCTGACCTTCATCGTGACCCTATGAGATCATTAGCTAGGGTTTGGTCAACCTGTTTTACAGATCAGGGTGAGACATCGCCCAAGTCACTGTAGTTGGGGCAGAGCCAGCTCCAGTGCGGGCCTGCTGTCCTGGGCCAATGCCCTTTGCTAATCCAGCTGCCCGGGAAGCAGCAGAGTTGCCCGGGCTTTGCATGGGAACTCTGGAAACTGTGTCCATGTCACAAGGGTCCCACACCTGCCACGTCGTGTCAGGCCCTGGTCAATGCACTGGTCAATGCACCGCCACACACAGCTCTTCTCTGGTGGCACAGCCCTTACCCCCCTCCCACCATTTCCAGGGAGTTCCCAGGCCTGGCACCAGTAACACCTGCTGTCATATCACCCCATTCCTGAGATGCAGGTGGCTTTTCTGGTAAGTGAGTAGTCAGGTGAGCTTTCTTGGACACAGTCCTGCCAACCTCGCTGCACAGTGGGAGAAAAGAGATTCTGTGAGAAACACCCACCGTGTCTCACCGTGACCCACCGTACCAGGCCTCACTGTGCAACTAGGAATTAGAACTAAATTTAGTTTGGTGGACTTGGTGTTTGGAAGGAAAGTGGTGATAATGAAAGAGGACCTTCTCACCTCTCTGAAATTATGTTCCAATAACTTCCATTTTCTGTGAAAGAACTAAAGAAGTAAATCCAAGAAAGGACAAGAGAAAATGGAAATCTTATTTGAACATGCAGTGTGTGAGGGGCAGTTGGCCAGATTGTATAATTTCAAGGACCACAGAAAAAAATAAAAATATAAGATTTCATCAAAAACAGGAAAACTATGCATTTAACAAAAAAGCAAAAATTCAAAAAGAATTGGAAAAAATATTTGCAGTAATTACGTCAGATTGATGTACAAGCTCATGCAAATCTACAAGAAAGACACAGAATCCTACGTAAGTAAGAGTAGAAACATTATGAATGAGGAAACACTTTAGACCAACCCAGTAAATTTTGTTTGCCTGCACTAATGATTAGAGAGGGCAAGGAATTAAAGGATCATGTTTTTCCACATAAAATGAGTAATTTCTTAAACTGATAAACTTGGTGTTCAGAGAGTGTTATCGTAGGTACTCTTGGCTCATTGCCTCCACTAAAGGAATAGTAACTCGTTGGCAATAGTTTTGACAGTGGGTATTCATTACTCTTTAAGGTGGTCCCCCTCTGTGGCTTGGTATCTCCAGCTCTCAGAATCCAACTTTTAAAATGAAAGTCTCAAAATGAAAAGCAAATGTGTGTGATTTTGTGTATGTGGAAGTGGAAAACAAATTAAATGTTTAGGTGTCAGAGAACGGCTAAATAAACTGTGGCTTATCTTCTCCCTGGTATAGTAAAAGAATGGAATATGAAAAATGTAAATTAAGTAAACAAAAGGATGCAAAATTTAATACATATGATATTTTAAATATAATATATAAAACAAGGAAGAGTTAAAAACTTCTGGCTACACTAAAACCTGCACATGCATGTTGATAACCGCTTCATTCATAATTGCCCAAACTAGGAAACAGCCAAGATGTCTTTAGTAGGTGACAGACAAACTGTGGTACATCTAGGCAATGGAATACCACTGAGCACTAAACAGAAATGGGCCATTAACCACAAGTGACATAGAGGAAATTTAAAAGCATGTTGCTTAGTGGAAGAAGCCAGTCTGTCTGGAAAGACTATGGATGTAGGGTGCCAACTCTGTCCCAGTCTAGGAAAGGCAAAACTATGGAGGCAGTAAAGGTCAGTGGTTTCCAGGATTAAAAGGGTGAAAGGACCACATAGGCAGATCACAGAGGAGTTTTAGGTCAGTGAGAGGACACCGTAAGATTCTCTGATGCTGGACACAGGTCTTTGGACCAACTGTGCAGTGTGCAGATTCTGGGTGATTCTGGAAGGGTCAGTGTGGGCTCAGCAGTTAGCCTGCTGGTGGGGAGCAGGGAGTCGGGGCAGGGCACAGGCAGGAGGGGCTGATGGGCCTCTGTGCCTTCAGCTCAGATTTGAATCTAGAACTGCTCTTAAAAAATAAAGTTCATTTTTTTAAAAAGGCAAGTGAGAGGAAAGAGTTTTGGAAATATTTACAAAGATAGTGTTTTAGTCCTGGTAGACTTGTTTCCTTTCATCTTTATGTCTGTCATTACAATTTTAAAACATAAACCTGTGTTATTTTATATTAGAAAGAAAAAAATAAACATTTTGAGAGTTTCAAAAGCTTCAGAACCATGCTGTACATGTGTCTGTATATTTAAGCAATTCTGAGAGTTTCTAATCCCTTGCTTGCTCTTAGCGGTCAGCATTTTGTAAACCTGCATCCCTCTTGGCTATTGGTGAATTTACACAGCTTCCTTATACTCTGAAGTGAGGAACAGTTAGTGTTTCTGTTCCCACAGAAAATAAGCCATCCTTGGGGAATCTCAGTGGGAACTATATTCTTGGAATTTTTCCCACATTGTATGATTCAGTCTTCCTTTATTTATTTTGAAATATACAGGACTGTTATTAGAATAGCCTCTCTCTCTTATGAAGTATATGTATATATTAATTTATCTTTAATTATAAAGAGACCCATCAACAATTTCCTCTGTCTTGTCTCCCATCTGTTCAGGCTCTCAACTCCCCCTAATTCTTAGGAACTATGAGTTTTAAATTCTTGTGACTAGTTCTGGAGGTATTTTTATGCATACACAAGTGAATTCTAACATGTTCTTGTCTTGCTGTATATTTATGCAAAGAGCAGGACATTCTACACAGCGTCCAATACCTGGCTTTTTCACTCAACAATGTCTTTCCTCATTTGGGCACAAATCATTCTTTCTTCCTTTTGTGGCTACAGAGGCCCCACCTGTAGATTCTCCATGACCTGGTCACCCAGTCCCCAGCTTATTAGCTGCTGGGCTATTTCTAATCTAATACTATCTTAAACAGTAGTAAGCAGAAGTGTTGGCACACACAAGTAATCTGTGGGAGGCCAAGGCAGGGGAATCACATGTTCAAGCCCAGCTTGGGCAGCTTGGTGACTTACAGAAACCCTGTCTCAAAATAAAAAATAAAAAGAGCTGGAGAAGTCGTTCAGTGTGAAGGCCTTGCTTTTAATACCCAGTACCCATCACAAAACAAAACAAAACAAAAACTCCAAAGCAAGTAAACAACCAAAGAAATAATGCAGTGACACCTAATCTTACACCTTATGCACGCCTCATTTCACACGTGTGTACAGATACGTACACACGATTAAATCCTCCAAGAGGGACTGACTGAGTGTCCGAGTTTTTGATGGGTGCCACTGAGGTGCGTTCCACAGGAAGGGTTTGCCTCCCCAGACCTGAGCTCCCAGAAAAACGCTGCTGTGCCTCAGAGCTCATCATGGCCTCCTGATCTGGGACTGAGGCGGCAGCACAGCTCCTGTCAGCATGGACTCCTCTCCCAGGGGAGTATTAGCATGTTTTCACATGAACAGAGCCTTTCCCTCAGGTGCGAGCTGCCTGTTGATGCCTTTGTTCATTGGATGTTGGGCAACTGACCATGTTCTTGTGGGTTCCAAGAGCAGCTCCTTCATGGGTTGGGGAGAGGCCCTCTTTGGCAGCCACATACCCCTAGCTGGAATCTGTGCCCGAGGACAGGAACGCCAAGGGACCTGCCTCTGGGTTGTGGATCCAAGGAGTTTTGGGACAAGACAGGCCATTAGAGGAGGTTTGTGGATGCCTTATACCTAGAGGGCCACACACAGGGGTGGCTTCTGTGTCTCCGCTCACGGACAGTGCCGCTCAGAGCGCTGTTTTGGCATCTGTGTGCCTGTGCTGCCTTCTCTGTCATTGAAGGCTTGTCACCCCAGCACTGTGGATTAGCACGGATAACACATGGAAGGACACGCACACTGCAGGGATTGGCTCCACAGGGGTGACTGAGTGGGAACACAGCCAACTTAGGGTGAACTCACTTCGTCTGTCCAACAGAAGCCCCAGTGAGCACAGGGACCCTGCATGTCCAGGCACAACCCTCTAGACCTCTCAGTGCTGACAGGCACTTTTTGTCTGAATTATGAGCCACGAAGACATGGGCAGGAAGCTCAAGTTTAGCAGAGCTTAAGTGGAAGTTTCTAGTGGTGTCTTTAATATCCTGCGATGTCCAGCCAAGCCAGCCGGTATGACCGATTCAGACGGGTAAGCTGTCCACCCATACAGCCCTAAGTAATGTGGACAAGCTGGCTCCAAGACCCTCCAGGGAATCTTGGACTTTAAATAGCACCTCATAAATAACAGAAGGCTCATCTCATCCCCCTTATCTTGGCCAAGGCTGGATCCATGGAGACCAGCGTGGAGCCCCCCACCCTGCTGTGGGACAACCCTCCTCACACAGCTGCAGGAGCTCTCAGAACTGCAGGGTTTCAGCCCTTTTCTGCTTTGCAACAAACCATATTTTGGCTTTAACGAGGCCTGTTTTTTTTTTCTACAGCTCTGGGGAGACTGTCACTAGCATAACCAGCTTGGCACCCCTGCAGCCGAAGAAGGGCAAGAGGCAGAAGGAGAAGGTGGACGTGCCGCCTGCGGTCCCAGCCAAAGGTGAGGGTGGTCGGGGTTGGCCTGGGAAGGGGACTGGCAGGAGGGTGAGCTTCGATGTGTTGTGGACTGGGCCCTCCAACCTGGCCTCTGCTCACAACTGGTGCTCCATCAAGAGAGGATGGGCAACCCAACAGAGCTTGGGGACGGTTCAATATCCACAGAGGAGTCTGCATTGCATTTCCTCAAATACTCCTAAAATGCTACACATGGTAAAGAGATGCTGGGGGCTGTCCACAGCCCTTTACTCTATCTACTTCCAGAGAAAGAAAACTTTTTAAAGATGTCACCCTGGCATGCAGTGTCTTTTGAGTTCTGTGATTGCAGTCTTGATTTACAGCAACATGAGTGAGGTGTTTCCCAAGTCTTAGGAGAGTCAGGGCTGTCTGCAGATAGTTGGTAAGATAACTGGGCAGTTTAGCTGCCTGTACTTGCAGAGATTTGAAATACAGTTGGGAGGACAGGAACTTCCCAGGTGCACAAGGTAAGATGCACAAGGTGAGGCATATCTTACCTCACGGCTGGTACTTAGCAAGCCCTGGGTCACCTAGAGGTGTAGGCTCCATTCCTGAGTGGGTGACACTCTTCCTCAGAGAGCTAGATTGTAGAACTGGGCTTTCAATGCCACTGTCAAGTCCTGAATCATTCCCAGGGATGGAGACAGGGAGAGCTTCCTTGTGGTGACCTGTGTGAGGCTCTGTCATGGCTCACCAGGTCATTGAGTCAGCACAGCCGAGTCCCTCAGGAAAGGGCCCCACCCCAGCCTTCACCAAGCTATGGATGCAGAGTTGTTTTGTTGATCCAGCCCAGGGAGACCTTGCTATGTCTAAAGGAAAGGGGGGAACCCAACGCAAGAGCTGCAGCCTCTGGGATCTGATTCTGAAGCTGCTGGGACACTGTGTAGGGACCCTGGAGGTGTCTGCAGCCCATGCGGAGCAGAGTATGTGTGTGATGCTCATGGCAGGTGGGCTGCTAGGGGGTACAGGAAGGGGAGGAGCAGCCTAAATCCCTAATCTCCTCCCGCAGCTCCCGTCGTTGCCACCTCCTTCCACAGGCCAAAGCTGCTGAAGCCACAGAGGAAGGGTGCTCTGGTAAGTGACTGTGCTGGGCTGTCCTTGTCTCTCGAGTCTTGTGCACACCTCAGGGCCAAACAGGGAGACTTAAAACATGCTGGAAGTTCTTGGTGCTTTTGGCTGAAAACTTTGGTGTTCTCCCTCCTAGATCAGATTCTTTGAGTCCCCACTCTGTGCCTGGAGTGACTCTTCAAAAGCCCATATGGGATTCTAAACGCTACCTTTCAAAGCCAAGAGGGAGAAAGTCATACTCAGAAATGGAGAAATTAGAAAATGGATCAGTTTGTGTCAGTTCCCCTGCTAACTCACTCTGAAGGGACTGTCTTCTCCTTGAGATGACTTTAGATTTACAGAAAAGTTGTAAGATAGCACAGAGCTCCACATCCCTTCTCCCACTTCCTCTGTGCCGTGGCATCTGCAGAGCTGACCCAGCCAGGACATCAACACCAGAGCCTTACTGTTAGGAGCTCCAGGCTTTCTCCCTCTCCCTCCTCCCTGCTCCCTCCCTTCCTTTCTTTGTGGCATTGACAACTCTTGAAAAGAAGGAGCCAGTCATTTTTAGCATATCTCTAATTTGGATTTTGCTGATGCTTAGACGTGAGAGTGTGGATCTAGGGGAAGAACAACAACGAGACAGTGGTGAAGTTCCCTTGCCATTGCATGGTCCTGGGTTCCTCATATTCAGTGTGGCTCCCATCACACAGGATGCCTCCCGAGACCCCCAGTGGATGCCTGGAACCACAAGGAGTGCTGAGCCATGTGCAGCCTTCGTTCTCCCATCCATATACACTTCCATACATATGATAAAGCTGAATATATAAATGGGGCATAGTGAGAAATTAATGACAACAATGATAGGATCTGAGAGAATAGTTACAGCAGCGTAATACAATTATTCTTTATTATATTAGCACATTAGTTGTGCTCCTCACTGGGACTCACTGTGGTGTTTCTGTACACACACGCGTCATGCTCCGATCCTGACCATTCACTCTTCTTTGGCCCTCATCGGCTCACTTCCCAAATCCCTATTGACCACTCTTTTCCTTTCAGGGCATCTTCTTTCCATTAGTTTATGCAAATGAAAGAGAACTTGGGATACTTGCCTTTCTGTGCCTGGCTTGTTTTGCTTAACACAACGTCTTCCAATTTCATTCATTTCCTTGCCAAGGACAGGACTTTGCTCTCCTGCATGGCTGGATAATTGCTCCAGCATGCACATGAGCCACCTTGGCTTTATCTCTATGCCATGTCTGCTACCTAGGCCCACCCTGTTTCTTCACCTTGTTAACAGTGCCACTTCAAGCGGTGTGACCAAAAGTACACAGAATGTTTACATTTTCAAAAATGCGTAATGGTAAAAGACACATGCCATGAATTCCCCTTCAGAATACTCCCCTTCACTTCTGATGTACTTATTCCATGGCTCTTACCACTTTCTGAAGCAGGTTCTGGAAGTCCTCTTTCATGAGTATCTTTAGTTGTGCTGACTTATTGTCCTGAACTGATTGAACATTCCCTTCTCATGATCACTGACTTTGGGGGAAGAGCCAGGCATCCCTTGGTGTCAGATCCAGTGAATAAGACTGGATGAGGTCACATTGTCACGTTTGTATTTGACAGAAGTTTCTGTAAATTTTCGATCAATAAGAAGTGATCAAAAATACAATAATTGTTTGCATTTTAAAGATTGTTGCAACAAAAATTCTATTAATTCCCCTCAAAATGTTCAACGTGCTCCTCCTTTGCTTTGAGCACACTTACCTCTTTCTTCTTGGCAATCTACCTTGTACAATAATAGGTTTTTTCAGTATTCAAATATTCACTGTATCTTTTAGTCATCCCTTGTGAACACAGGCTTGCAGCTTTTTATAAGAGTGGTTTAAATCTCAGTCACTTAAACCTTATGATTTGTTTATTTCTAGAATTTCCTTTCAGTATTTTCAGGCTGAGGTGGACCACAGGTAGCTGAAACTTTGGAAAACGAAATTGCAGCTGAGAAGGGACAGCTGCCCATCTCATTAGTGTGGTGTCCCTGTCTGTCCGCAGTTATGGTCACAGCTGTCAAACTCTTCTCCTGTAAATGTCTGCTCTTTCCTTGCTAAGCTCTGTGTGCTGGCAGCCAGTCCATGAGTTGAGTGCATAGTGAGGTGAGACATGTTCCACCTCCCAAGGGACAAGGATTGAGAATTGTGACACATTAAAGCCACCACAGTAATTAACAATTATTGGGGAGGGGTATGTTTAAGGCTGTGAAAATATTCTAGTTTTCCTTGAAAATTTCCCACTGATTTTTTGCACTCGTTGTTGCCTTTGGCCCATGAAGATGGCAACTTCCTGTTCCCCCTAATCCTTCTGTGGTTACCTCTTGGAATTCTTCCCCAGGAAAAAATCTGTCCCTTCCCCTTTCTTTTTTTTTAATTGAGTTTATTGGTACATTTTAGGTGTACAGTACAGTTACATTCATTATTGGGATCTTGTACCTTTACATGACAGGTCTTGGTTCTCAGTTTTTCCCCTTGTCCCTGCCCTCCCTTCACCCCTTTCCCTTTTCTTACCTATTACCTAATCCCTCGATGTCAGTTCAGATGCATAGAAATTTATTTGACATTCCTAGTTTTTAGTCATACTGTGGTTGTGTTGCTAATTGTTGTCTAGCAGTTGTGTATTGAGGCATGAGAGAGATCATGGAAGCCCTGCTAAAATGTGCACATACTGCAGAAGGAGGCTTTGGGATTCTGTTGGTTAGTGCCTTCTTCGTGCTCTTATATTTGGTTTTCAAAATAAGATTCTTCCCTCCCCCTCCAGTTTTGCATATGAGGATACAAAAACTCAGTCTAGAGAAGTGACAGAGTCCTACATCCTCCTAGGGAAGAGAATGCCATCAATGTTGAATGGCAATCTCCTCCAGTCTACAGCCCACGGGATCCCACCTCTCCTTTACCCTTCAAACAGGAACAAAAAGCATTGTGCAACGCTTGGGTACAAAATGTTGTCTTAAGCAATTTCCTGCCGCAGTTGGGTTCAAGAGCATTTCCAAAAGCAAGTGCTCCCAATCACAGGTTTTCATCATTGACATTCTGGGGGGGGGTATGTGTGTGTTTGAGGTGGCTTGCTTCTCCGGATGGGCACTTGGCATGGGGAATTCTTCATTTTTACAGAAAATAGGTAGGAGCAGTTATATGCATCTCAAAAGGATTATTTATTGTAGGGATAATTTCCAGTGACAATTCTTCAAATACCAAATTATCCTTTAATAGGAAGATGTTGAAAAATATTTTAAACTTAATTTTCTAGGAGCAGGTGTATTTGGGTACTATGGATAACAGTTCACAGTGAAGAGAAGAGCTGACCTCCACTGGGCCTCTGAACAGCAGTTTGGAGTAAAAAATACCAGGCCTGGCGTCTGCAGATCTGGTCAATACTAAGCTGTATTCCCGGGGCAGCACTGACCTCGCCCTGGATGTGGTCGATATTTATCTCCCTATGGGTCAATGCCTCTTGATGGAGGCTAAAGATGCAGGCAGAGGCTACTTGTTGATTCACACAACTTTAGGGATAATTCGAGCACAGAGGAAGTGGCTGGGACTAGTCGGGTGTTGAATTCTGTCACTGTTGTGTTTTATTACCTCCATCTCTGTCAAACAGTGCTTCCTGTTTGGGTGCGAGTCCAAGGCTGCAGAGTCCCCATCCCTTTTTCCTGGAGGCCATTGCCCTCCTCAGTGACACCAGGGTACAAAGCTGGCATAGACAATGTCCCTTTAGTGAGCACCTGCTGTGTACCAGCTTCTTTTCTAAGTGATTTGTGGCCCTGTCACACTCATCTGAACCACAGGACCAACACTGTGACAGGCGACTTTGTGTTTGTAACCCCCTCCACCCCCAGTATGACCAAGACAGAATCTTTTCTTGTGTTTCTAGGACAACAGGGCAGTTTGCAGGAAGTATGGACACCAGAGAGTAACAGTGGCTGGAAAGGTTCAGAAAGATGATAGCACATCAGAAGCAAAAAAAGGGGAGAAAGGTACTGAAATGGTCCTTTATAATCAAGATACTGAAATGGCCCTTCTTCCCTCCCCTTGCTTGTTGTGGAATAAGACATGTGCAGCAACCTGCATTCCAAGTGCACCTGATCAGGCTCGAGGCCCTTGGATGACAGTTCCTCCTTGAATGCCTGACAGTGCAGCCGCTTTGTCTAAGAAGTCTGAGGGTGCACTGCCACCCTGCAACCTCTGGGCAGGGAGGCAGCACTGTCCCAAAACACAAATAAGTGTCAGGAGGGTGCGGATCAGTGGCAGAGCGCCTGCCAGGTGGGTGTGAGGCCCCAGGTCACTTCCCCAGCACCCAACACCAAACCAAACCAAAACCCTCCCAGTGCCCATTTGCAGCATGGTGTTCCTGTGAGCAGGGTGCTGGCACACAGCCCCTGAAACCTGCTGGCCCCAGGGACCTCCTGGTTAAGCCCCTACCACATTGCCTCGGGAGCTGGGCATGGAATTTTCTCACTTCCGGGAAAAGCTGTCTGTGCTTCCTTTTCTCAGAAGAAACAGAGAAAGCCAGAAGCACAATTGATTTATTTTGATTGCATTAGGCCAGCTATTGATTTAGAGGTTGAGTAGAAAGAGAAAAACACAGTGTCTGTGATGTGGAATCAAAACCTCAGAGTTTAAAGGAAAAACAAAGAGCAACAGGAAACCAGAGTTGGAGAGGCATGTGGTGAATAAAAATACAAGGCACATACTGTCCTGGGGTGAGATGAACCTCATACTCCCCCGCCCTGCATACCGACAGGGTGCCCTTTGGGCTCTCCTTGTGTGGAATCAAGTTGCTCACATACGGCACCCTTAGGTGAGCTGGAAAAGCCGGCCCTACCTCCACCCCATCCTCTGAGGAGAATGGAGTTCTAGCACTCTGGAGGGGCTGAGGCAGAAGGATCACAGGTTCAAGCCCGGCGTGAACAATTTAGCAACTTAGTGAGGATCCTGTTTCAAAATAAAGAAATTTTAAAAAGGATCGGG